AGTGATGTTCATGGACTTTTCATCCCCACCATCTACTGATCTCCTACTTCAGAGAAGATTAGTTTCTTTCGTCTATTTTTCCTGTTTGAAAAAGTGAAGTTTGTTGAGTATTCCTATGACCCTCAACCAAATTAGCTGTTTTTAAATGTGTCAATTTAAACTGAAACCATCAACACTTTTTCTGAATCTGATGGTGGTATAAAGTTTTTGTAATCTACAACCTTGCTGAGGGCTTCCAGATTTTATTCTTGTTGTCTGGTCCTGTACTGTGCGCACTTTCGGTCACCACTCTATAGGAGGGATGTGATTGCATTAGAGAGGGTGGTGAGGAGATTCATCAAGATGTTGCCTGGGTTGGAACAAATCAGCAAAGAAAAGAGCCTAGATAAGCTGTTGTTGTTTTCTTTAGAGCAGAGAAGGTTGAGGGGGGATCTGTTAGAGACGTACAAAGTAATGATGGGCATAGAGAGGGGAGATAAGGAGAAACCTTTGCCCTTGGTACAGTTTTAAGGTAGGGAGCAGGTTTTTTGAAGGGGATTTTAGGAAGAGGGTGGTGGATATCTGGATCTCAGTGCCTAAAAGAATAGTGAAGACAATAATCCTAACGATATTTAAGAAGTATTTAGATGAGCGCTTGAAATGTCATAGCTTATGAAAGCTATAGGTCAAGTGCTGAAGCATGGGATAAGAGTAGATAGATTCTTGATGATCGGCACAGACACAATGGCCCGAAGGGCCTTTATTCTTGTGGTAAAGCGCTATGACTAACAATTGGACAAGATGAATAGCATATTCATGATGAGCTCATCTTTCATCATTTTTGAAGAGCTGTATCAAGTCTTTCCTCCATCTTTACTTTAGTGGAAATTAATGACTATAACCATTCTTAAAGGGCTGACAGAGTCTTTTGTGAAGTTAAAAATCCAGTTTAAGTCATATTTAGCCTTTATTTATAGCACAAAAAAATGAAAAAAATATGCAAAGTGGAAGTGAAGCTGAAAAGCAGCAGTAAATTTGGAGAAAATCATTTTTTATTTTAAACAGCTCCAAGTCACAAGAAGCAGACGATGAATGAGGCATAGTTAAACACAATGACAACTCCTAATTATTTACATAGTTTTCACAGACACCACTTTCATGGCCTTAATGGCAGTTCCAAAGATTCTGGCAAGCATCTGCTCACAGCAGTTGCATTAAACTCTGTTTGCCAAGTTTAGTTTCCTGGAATCTAGTCTGAAAAACATTCTCTATGTATCAAATAAGCCAGCTAGTTCACAGAAGATGCAAGAAGCAGTGGTCAAGTTCAGAGAGCAATGAACGTCTATAATCCAGAGTGAGGTATTCAACTATGCCAAATTGGAGGGGGAAGTTAAAATTGCTCAGTTTTTTTTATATGCAAACATCCTAATAGTTACAAAGCCAATGTTTCTTAAAAGCTTTCTGTGTCTGGTGACACATTAAACAGTTGAAGCACATGCTTATGTTTGTTTTCAAACCTTGTTTATTCTGGAACTGGTTGCCAAGGACTGTAACTTTCAGGGTACCACTCAGACCATCCTAAGATAGTCTCCTGCTCTCATTGCCTGCCATTGGTGCATTGAAAGAATTTAGATTTTGATAATCAGCCATAAATTTGATAATTGTCCATAAATGAACTCACCTTCCACAGTAATCAATTCCTGCGGTAGGACTCAAACCTGCAACTTCTGACCCAGAGGCAGAGACACTACCACTGCACTGCAATACTTCTGCCTAATATTTCACTGTCTAGATTCTTTCGAGAGCATTTCAATTGTTAGTAATTTGAATCTGAAATGTTTGGTCTAATTCTTTTCTTGCCCCCAATAGAAGATCCCAAGATCTTTGTACAATTGGACAAAGCTTTTTGCAAGTAATTGGCGTTAATAATCTACTCAGACGCCATTAGACTGCATCCTTCAACAGAAACAATGCACTGTTCAATCTGGCACTGGTTTCCAACTAACAGGTCTCCCTAGCAAATCTTTATAACATCATCTTCTGGCTTTTATGGGGTTTTCCCCCATCCTAGTTAGTCCCATTGCTACCCTGTACATCTTACAAACTGATCAACTTTATCACTGGCTGCACTTTGGCTGGTAGTGACAACAAGGGCACACTTTCTGCTCTCAGTTACTTTAGCCCCAGCAAATATTGTTACCACCTCTGGACAGTTATCTCTGGTCCATCCACCCTACAGCTACAGTCATAACATTGTTTGTCCAATCCTCCTCTGAATGCTGTGCATTGGTTTCACACACCAACTGTACAGCAAATAGCCACTTTATTACCAGATTGGTGATGCTTAAAGTCACTGAGGTCTACAGCAAGGATAAAGGCTCTTTGGCTCATCATAAACAAGACCTGCCCATTCCAATCTTGTTTTCCAGCATTTGGCCCATAGCCTTGAATGCCTTGGCATCACAAATACACATCTAAATACTTCTTAAAGGTTATGAGGGTATCTGTCTCAACAGGCAGTGAGCTCCAGATTCCTACCACCCTCTGTGTGAAAAGGCATTTCCTCACATACCCTCTAAACCTATTGCCCCTTACCTTAAATATATGACCTCTGATCATTGATCTCTATACTGAGAGAAAATGTTCCTTCCTGTCTACCCTATATATGCCTTCATAATTTTATAATCTCAATATTTAATAATCAAAAAACCACAAAGAAAATTAAAAGAAAACACAATTTTATTTTGGATGCTCCAGTGATTTTTTTTTCGCTGAGTTACTCTCAGCATAACCCTGGAGATTGGTCTTTAACTCCTGGAGGTTTGGGACCCATCATTGATATTTCGCAATCCTACCAGCAGACAACTGGGAAAGGTACCCTTGATGCTTACAGCAGCCCATCTGAGGGGCATTACCAGTCTGGAAACGGGCTTCCTGCCTCCAAGAGCTGCCTCCAAGAGCTTCAGTGGCCACTGCTGGAAGCTGATTGCAAAGTGAGCACTGGAGAAGAGGGGCTACCACCGGGGCCCAGACCACAGGCTGCAGGTTTAGGGATGGGGGTGCCCACGATTGCAAAAAACTGCCTGTGAAGGACACACTTACCCCCACCTTCCCCACCTGAAGCCAACACCTTGTCCCTTCCCACTTGGCACCGTGATCCCCCACCTGCTGCCATCTGCACAATTACAGCCACCACAAGTGGTGGGTTATGGATGGGCAGGCCTTCAACATACTCATAGGGGGCAAGGGGGGTATATAAAATGCTGCCCTTCAGTATCCCAACATCTAGAGTCAGCCTGGTCACTCCTGTACGAATCCTCCTTAACTAAACTGACTAAAAGTGGGTAAGATTGCACATGATGGGAATGAAATTCTATGCCCCAGCGCATACCCTTAGAATCAGAGAGGGCATTTGATTGGGCAGGAGGGTGCAGGATGGATCAAGCTCCATGCTGCCTGGATGCCAATTGATTCCCTTAAGCAGCCATTTAAGAGCACTCTCAGTGGCTGGCGGGGCTCTCACAATTGGGAAAACTGCACCTGCAGCTATTAAGGGCAGGTGGTCCTCCTATTCAGCTACTCTATTCAGGAAGGAAAGGTACCTCACTGCCCTTCCTGTTTAACCTGCTCTACCCATTTCACTGCAGTTCCCCTTCCTCCCGCACCCATTTCTCTCCAGGGCTCCATCTCTGATCCCTGGTAGATGACCAAGTATAGTACCAGCAGTGTCCATCACTCACAATGGCACAGCTGGTGCATAAGACCTGGTAGCTACTGATTGGATGGCACCTCCAACGTTGCAAGATTTCTAACTGTCCCCTGGCACTTAAATCAGCGGGAGGCCCAACAATGGTCAGTCAAGTGACTGATTTCCTACAAAAATTGCATGGCACCTCCCAAAAGTGTTCAGTCAAGGACTCCTACTGTTTTTCCAGCTGGTGGATGTGAACCCAGTCTTGAACATTAGATTTGTGTTTTAGAATTGTTCCACCCATATGTGTATGTCTCATATGGGTAGGTTTAACCTAACTCTGCCAGATCCAGAGCATTGCCAATTTTACATCCCACCCTATGTTTCTGACTGCTCTAGAGAGTGAAGCCTCAGGTAGGGTATAAAATCTTGTTTTGTTTTCCTTAAGCCAACTGTCTCCCAATGAGAGGATCAGACTAAAGTTACCTCTGGTCATGTCACTGAGAGGAATTAGCTCTTATTATCGTGATTACAGATATCGTTTTAATATGAACCTGATGCGTTTCAGCAACATCACTCAATATTTCTGGTTAGCTTTCAGTGATGAATTCTGGAATCTCTGCCACAGGTTTCAAAGATAGATTTTGACTGCAGGTGGGTTTTTAGTTGTCTCACCAGTGGATGGCACCTACACACTGCTCAGAAGCTGTGACAGGGAGCCCAGTCCATTTTAGAGACCAGATCTCGTTCACACAGGGCTGGCAGCCTGCAAGTGAGAAACAAATGGTCCTAAGATGACCCACTGGTTTAGAGATGTTGCCATTTGGGGCAAGCTGGCCCAAAACAATATGACAGTCCATCCTCAGGAAATGGGGATCTGAGCATGCAGCACACTAGATTTTTGTGGATCCCAGAGAAGCAGCTCTGATCCTCATGGTGCCAGGGAATTAAAGCTCACTCGCTGGACACCTCTTGTACCATACTTCCAGGTGGGATGAAACGTAGACTGTACCTGCACCAACCAATATTGTTGAAAATGTCAATCGAGGTCACTTGTATATCATAGGACCCTGATTTGCATTTTTAAGGGCTCACTGCCTAACACAAGCATGTGGCCCTGTCATGGAAGGCTCTTCTAAAGCCAGTGTTGACTGGATCTGAAGCAGGAACGAAGTGGTTTCCCTCATCATTTTAGGGATTCCACCATCCAGCCTCCATCCAGTTTAAACCTCCATTGTGTCCCTTATTTGACTGTTTACAATCGTAGCCAAACTCGGCTGCTGCAAGGTCCTGCTAAACTGAGGAAATGCTTTGTCTTCTTTTGTTACAGGTATGCTCCCATAGGTATCCTCTTCCTGATTGCAGGCAAAATCATGGAAATGAAAGACCTTACCGTGATGGGCGGACAACTGGGAATGTACACTGTGACAGTGATAATTGGGCTTCTAATTCATGCACTCGTTGTCCTGCCACTTCTTTATTTCATAGTCACCCATAAGAATCCTTGGGTTTTTATTGGCGGGTTATTGCAAGCATTGATCACTGCCCTTGGCACTTCATCCAGGTAAGATTGTCCATCCTGAATATAATCTGTTACCGTTGAAAAACATTGATTCATTTTCTCTGTGTCAATTTTTATTCCTCTTATCCTCTCTGCAAATCTTTCTAACTGGCCCGCTCCATCCAATGCTTCTCTCAATATGAATTAAATTGTTTAGTCCATTTGTTTTGCAGCTCAGCAACTCTCCCAATCACCTTTAAGTGTTTGGAAGAAAATAATGGCGTAGACAAGCATGTTACTCGCTTTGTCCTTCCTGTTGGAGCTACTATTAACATGGACGGCACAGCACTGTACGAGGCCCTGGCTGCCATTTTTATTGCACAAGTCAACAATTATGACCTAAACTTCGGACAAATCATCACAATCAGGTAGATTATCAGAATGCAGTTGAATTGAAATCAATGTAGTCCAAATCTCAAATTCAATTCAGATTCAGCTTTGCAGTTCACTGACATTTACAGCTAACACTTATCACATTTGCTGTTGTGCCACTGAGCTGTATAGCTACCATGTGATCTAGAAATCTCCGTAACTTATACAAACATAATAAACATTATGCATTTATATCCAACGTTCAGAAGAGAATACAGAGAAAGTTGCCACCCAGGTTGATAGCGTTGTTAAGAAGGCGTACAGTATGTTAGGTTTTATTGGTAGAGGGATTGCGTTTCGGAGCCGTGAGGTCATGTTGCAGCTGTACAAAACTCTGGTGCGGCCGCACTTGGAGTATTGCGTACAGTTCTGGTCACCGCATTCTAGGAAGGATGTGGAAGCATTGGAAAGGGTGCAGAGGAGATTTACCAGGATGTTGCCTGGTATGGAGGGAAGGTCTTATGAGGAAAGGTTGAGGGTTTTGAGGCTGTTTTCGTTAGAGAGAAGAAGGTTAAGAGGTGACTTGATAGAGACATACAAGATCATCAGAGGATTAGATAGGGTGGACAGTGGGAGCCTTTTTCCTCGGATGGTGATGGCTAGCACGAGGGGACATAGCTTTAAATTGAGGGGTGATAGATATAGGACAGATGTCAGAGGTAGGTTCTTTACTCAGAGAGTAGTAAGGGCGTGGAATGCCCTGCCTGCAAAAATAGTAGACTCGCCCACTTTAAGGGCATTTAAATGGTCATTGGATAAACATATGGATGATAATGGAATAGTTTAGGTTAGATGGGCTTCAGGTTGGTTTCACAGGTCGGCGCAACATCGAGGGCCGAAGGGCCTGTACTGCGCTGTAATGTTCTATGTTCTATGTTCTAAAGTACTTCTTGTCTAATTACATAATTTACTGAAGACATCAAATTATACATCTAGGTGACAGATACAAAGAACTGATACTGTTCAAACAGATCTGAACCAAGGAGATCAATTTAGGAATGCTTGATGTTAATGCGAAGCTAGTGCCATCATGGTTATCAAGTACTGGGGTTTTTGAAGAGATACTTGGCTAGATGTTGAAATAAAATTATTCTGATCATTTTAGATCATTAACACATCCATCTAGGCTATCTCCCAGATCCTCCAGCCTGTTATTTCCTTTTCACCAGTTCTATTACAGCCTCTATCTTCAACCGAACCATTTACTTCAACCTTGAACAGTCACAGATGAGTTACTATCTACAATCACCTTCCTCAATTTTGCTGAATTTATTCTTACCTTGAACAACTCCTGGTAACTCTATTCACTTCCTGCTAATAAAGTACATTTCTGTGGGAAGCTGCATTAACCTAGTTACGCCTGTTGTTTGGTTGACTATCTGGACCATTGCTCCAGCCTGATGCTGGTCCATTTCCAAATGAATTTCTTTATTATATTGATGGGTGAATTAGTGCCACTTCCTCCTTTCTTTTTGGAGTATTTCTTCAACAATGTTTCTCATTTCTACTCATCTCTGCAAAGTCCATCTCTGGCTCTTCCATTCTTTGATTGTCTTTCACCTTATATTCTGATGTTTGGGTTTGCTGCTGACAACATTACAAGCCACTGACACCCATATTGATTATATGTGGCTGTGTTCACCCTATTTGTTAAGCACCTGGTGTTATCCATTATCCCTTATCATGCATCAAGGTTCCCATCGCTTGCGCCTTCCATCCATCCAATCTCTGTGTTCACATGTCCTCTTCCGCCATTTACAAAACAGTCCTACATCTGGGCACATTTTTCCTTTGCTTCAACCTTTAGCAAGAGTATTTTATCATTCCTTAGACTACCCTTTGTTCCAGTTTCCATTTTGTTGCTACTTGCCTGTGCAACAGCTGAAGACACAGCACATAATCATTTGGTTTCTCCCAGTCCTTATATTTATTCCAAATGAAACAATAATTCACAGGCACTCAACGTGCCCAATAATTTTTCCTTACATTTGTGTGGACCTTCAAGTTCTATTCATGGCAGTAGATAGAGTTGGGGACCTGAAACATTAAGTCTGCTTTCTCTCCGCAGATGTTGCCAGATCAAGAGTTTTTCCAGCAATTTCTATTTATGTTACTGATTTCCAGCATCCATTGTTCTCTGGATGTTTTGTTTAGATTCTAATGTAATCCTTTATTCTTTTTTACAATAAGTAAATCCACCCAATTTCACTTGCATTTTCTTTCATTTGCTTTCATTTCTATTGAATCTAATGTCTTGCTCTTCTGTATTTTCCTCTTTCTTTGTTGTTACATTATTCTTCATTGTTTTACAGTGCACATGCCTTTCTTGAGAGCTTCTTGGCTCCCTCTCCCTTGTTATTTATGTATTTTTCTATCCTGTCTATTTGAACAAACATAATTGATGAGAATGCTGAACAGGATCAATGACAATAGACAACCCAATATCTTTCTCAAAGAAGCTAGATACGTGTTATCCTTACAAATATGGAGCTGCAGTACAAATGCTGAATAAAATCCAAGATGTGCCAAAGCATCAGCTTCTTTGTGAGAGTTGCACAAGATTGGATGTCAGAAGTCTTTCAAAATCTCAAATTCATATATAGCTAAAATCTGCTATACACTATCATCACAAGAGCACAATCAAATAGATTTGTGAATAACACTTAGGAGAAGGGAGCAATTCAACTTTAATAAAGGAAACAAGTAACAACTATTTCCAGTGGCAAAGAGGTCATTAACCAGAGGGCACACATTTAAGATGTTTAACAAAGAAACGAAAGGTGACATTGGGAAGCTTTTTTTTTCAAACCTAGTTATCGCTTAGGATCTGGAATGCACTGCCTGAAATGACAGTTGAAACAGATTCAACATTATCATTCAAAAGAGAATTAGATAAATACTTGATGGGATAAATATTTCATGGATATAGGGAAAAAAGCCGGGAAGGAGATTCTACCTAAGATCAGGTATGGCTGAGATGAGAATGATAGTCTTCCTCTGTTCTAAACCATCCTCAGGTTCTTCAAAAAAACATTTCCTAGCCATTGGCAGACACCTCTGTAAAATCTGTAAGTGTGCAGGCTGCTATTCCGACAGCTTAAGGTGACCCCGTTCCCAGGACGAGGTCTATATCAATAGCCATAGGTGACTATAGGACAATAAGAAATAAGAACAGGAGTAGGGTGTTTGGCCCCTGGAGCCTGCTCCGCCATTCAATAGTTTCATGGCTAATCCAACATTCCTCAAGTCCACTTTCCTGCCCTTTCCCTGTAACCCTTGATTACCCTACTGATCAACAATCTACCTATCTCAACCTTAAAATACACATAAGGACTCGGTCCCCACAGCTCTCTGTGGCGAGGAGTTCCAAAGACTCATAACCCTCTTGAGAGAAGAAATTCCTCCACATCTGTCTTAAATTCTGAGATAATGCCCTCTGGTCCTAGACTCTCCCATGCGGGGAAACATCCTCTGAGCATTTATCTTATCAAGCCCCTTAAGAATTCCATGTTTCAGTGAGAATGCCTCTCATTCTTCTAAACTCCAGTGAGTAGAGTCCCAACCTGTTTAATCTTTGATCATAGGGCAGTCCTCCATACCAGGGATCATCCCAGTGAACTTTCTCTGAACTGCCTCCAATGAAATGATATCTTTCCTGATACCTAAGTAAGGAGACCAAAACTGCTCACAGGACTCCTGATGTGGTCTCACCAGCACCTTGTACAGTAGCAGTAAGAATTCTCTCCTCTTATACACCAATCCCCTTGAAATAAAGACTAACATTCCATAAGCCTTCCTGATTACCTGTGCTGGCTTTCTCTATTTTATGTAAAAGTACCAAGTCCCTTTGTGATGTCACTTCCTGTAGTTTTTCACTATTTAAATAATTTACTTTGTTCTCCCTTTCCAAAATGAACAACTTTGTTTTTTCCCACATTATACTCCATTTGTCAACTTAATGACTATTTACTTAAGTTATCAATATCTTGAAATACCTTCGTGCTGCACTTCTGGCACTGGAGCAGGACCTGGTATACTGGATCTAAGGCACAGGAGTTCCCATAAGAACTAGTAAGAATAATCTTTAAAATTCATGAATTCTTTTAATCCTATATGGAGATTGAAAACAATGGAACTCTCTTCACCCAAATGGGATGATAAAGTACTTGAAATTTTCCAGAGTTTTATCAGTGATGGTATCAAGGGATATGGAGAGAAAGTGTGTAAATGGAGTTGGTTGCAGATCAACCATGAGTTAATTAAATAGCAGCTTGAGGGGCTGAATGGTCTATTACTGTTCTTCTAATAAAAGTTGTAGTAATTTTAATTGTGTGAAATGTTTGTTCAACTTAAATTCGTTTACATCCTCTGCTCTATTTTTCCATCATGTAGTATCACTGCAACAGCAGCTAGCATTGGAGCTGCAGGAATACCACAGGCTGGCCTTGTTACCATGGTGATAGTGTTAACATCTGTTGGACTTCCCACAGAGGACATCACCCTGATCATCGCAGTGGACTGGTTTCTGTATGTAGGCTCAGTAATGTTCTTGTCTTTTAACTTTACAGAACTTGTGCTAAATTATTAACTAGAAAGATTCAACAAGAGACTATTCTGTACTGATTAATCATCTTGAGAATTATTAAGAGAAGGTTTTGTTAACCCAGCTGAACATAGCTTCTTGAGGCAGATGTAGCAGTGATTTTTTTTTGGAGTAATATACTTAAGATAGTTTACTAAAATCCAAATACTTCAGGGAATGGAATATTGCAATGATGTCTTCTGACACTTGATAATAGATAATACTCAGAAGTATTTTCATAGTAGTCACCTTGCAAATTAAATACTTGTAGCATTGTGTTTTAGTAGTGGCTGCAGCTGTAGCCAAGCTACAACACTGGTATCTAACCACAAAGAAAATTTCCCAGGGTATACCTGTTCATTAAAAGCAGGATGAATCCAATCTGGCCAGCTCTCAATCATCAAAATGATGGAAAGTGTTGTTGTTAGAGTTATCAAACAGCACTTACTGAACAATAGCCTGCTCACCTTTGTTCAGTTTAATGCTCCTTCAATGATCTTCCTTCCATTATAAGGGCAGTAGTGGAGATGCTCACTGGTGATTGCTCAAAGTTCAACTTTATTCATGACTCTCAGATACTGAAACCATCGTATCCTTAAGCAACAAGATTTGGAGAATATTCAGGCTTAGGATAATAAGGGACAAGTATCATTCATACTACACAAGTGCCAGGCAATGACCGTCTGCAAAAAGAAAGACTGTCACCATCTCCCCGTGACATACCATCACTGAATTACCAAGGCTTCTTCGACAATGCTTCCCGAACATGTGGCTTCTACCTAGAAGAGAAGCATACACATGAGAACAACACCACCTGAAAGTTTGCCTCAAAGTGTTACCCTGATTTGACTTGGAAGAATACTGTTAATCCTTCATTATCACTGGAATCCTGGAACTCCCTCCTTAGTAACACCATGGAAATATGTTCACCACACAAAGTGCACTAGTTTAAGAAGGTGCTTCACCACTCAAGGTCAATTAGGAATGGGCAATGAATGCTATATGTTAGATTTTTTGGCACAGGCACCTGAATCTAATGTTCTATGAACTTACTACGTATCCAAAACAAAAATGAACCAGTGGAATCTTTCAGAGTTAATTTAATTAAAAACAGAGAGGAAACTTTCAGCTTCCAAATGGCAATTTTTCAAATGCATGTGATGTCTCCTCTTAAAGGGCTGAAACTCCAGTTTAAAGGGATGGTGGCAACTATGAGAAAAGAAACAAGAAATAGTGAAACACATATAAAGAACCCCATCATTCAATCACAGAGCTTCTTATTCACAAACTACACCAGAGGAAAGATTCACTATTTGATAATGAACTGTAGTTACCCTGCAGTAGAGCCATTGACAGTGCATAACAGGCATGGTCAAAAGCATCTACAAGTACATTTAATGTTCAGATCACCTGGGAACAGACAAAACAAGCTTGGCACCCTGAAAAATCTGTCATGACAAAACCACCCAGCATTTCTGAAGGCATTGATATACTTGCCACAAAGTTTCCTTTCAACCAGTTACACTCTGACTGGCATCAAACACAAAGCTAAAAAACTGCAATCCAATCTGTTGTTTTTGTAGGGAAGGATTTTATCCCAAGGAGCAGGTCTAATGGATGAAATCAAAGTCCGGAGTATTATCTTCCGTTGACGCCCTTAATGAAAGAATATTCCCCTGTTATAAACAGTGTAAGATTACCAAAATTTAATTCACAACATATTCTAGGAGATACCAGCCATTCTGTTTTCCTCGGCATACACAAAAATAGATAAAGCTTTATTGTTTGACAGAGGTTATCAGGTTTTCCTTGAAACTAAGGAAATTAATGCTGCTTTTATTTCTCAGGGATCGCTTACGAACTACCACAAATGTACTCGGCGACTCATTGGGAGCAGGCATTGTGGAGCACCTGTCAAGGCATGAACTGCATACACCAGATGCAGAAGTTGGAAATTCTGTCATCGAAGAAAATGAGAAACCTTATCAGCTCATCTGCCAAGAGCATGAAAACCAGAAGCATTTGGATAGCGAGACCATGATGTGACCCTGAGACTAAGACAGGCTTAGTACTGTAGAGATAAACACATACCACCATGTAAATTGTGTGTCTGTACATTTCTAACCAAACTAGTCAACAAAGGAATGTCTAAAATAGCCTAATTATTCAGCAAGAAATTCTCAATGTAGGAGCAGACCTGTATGCATGTGTATGCATGTGTGTGTACATATGAGTGTATTCATGTACACATGGATGTGCATGTTTGTGTGAATTTTCATGAATGAATGTCTCCACCTGTGTTTGTATGCATTTCTGTGTAGGTTCACATGATTGTGATTATACACACACACACACACACACACACAGAAATAAACATACACACATATATATACAGAAGCACTCACACCCTCTCACATATACCCATTCGAACATATGCATGCACACACATACATACACATACATACACACACACATACGCGCACGCACAGACACACACACAGAGTCTGTCTCTGACAGTATATAAACATAAATGCACACACATCAGTTTGAGTTTGGAAATTTGTGTCCTCATGTGTGACAGTATTTATACATATTCATGTGTACAGGTCTCTACATGTGTGTGCCTTTGTACATGCACGTATGTGGCATTGTCCTTAACTGGAATTGGTTGCCTTTTAAACCAGGTGGATGCCTCAATAGCACTTTCCTAACTGGGACATGATTTCTGCTGTGTGCAGGGTGTAGTGAAATAGTAAAAATATCTCTGATTTTGCTATACTCGACACACAAGAAATCTCCCACCGTCAGAAACGGATTAACATTCATTAAAAATACTTGACAAAGAACAAAAAATATCAAAGGGACAGAGAAAGTGCAGGGAAATGGGATAGTAGTAGGTAGATCTGATATGGAGCAACAACAAAAAAAAGTGCTGAAATAGTCTCCATCTGTTCTGAGATTTCCACAATACTATTGTGACATACTCCTGTGTCAAACTGGTTACATTTTGCAGAGTTTTGATGTCTTGGCAGACATCTAACAAGGAGCTGATTTTCTTTATCTGATGCAAGTCATGCCGAAAAGGTTAAGATGTGGTGCTAGATCCATTTAAGTGTTGGGACTGATTTGTAAAATTGCTAAAGTGTAAAATTGATGATGGTAAACTGGCAACAATATTTTATATCTATTCCAATTTTTGTCTCCATTGAAGCCCAGAAGGATCCCGATTATCCAGTTACAATGGGTGTTAATTTCTTCCATTTTAGACACAGTGTAGGAGAACTAAAGGGACACATGAGGCCTTGGATCAGCAGTACTGCATATTAATGTCAAACTCCTGCAGTTTTCTTATTGGGGCAGGGGTAGGGAGGGGTGATGGATTCCACTGTAACTACGTTGAAAGTGTGGCTAACTGGAAATGACTGAGGAAAATCCTCCCACAACTCTCTGTATTTCAAACAAACTCAGAGACTCAACAGGTCTGATAGCATCTGTAGAGAGAGAAACAGAGTTAATATTTTGAGTCTGGTATGACTCTTCTTCTCTCCCACATCATCCTATCCTATTTCTGATACTCTTCAGCTGATCCGGCCTGAAAGCAGGAAGTCTACAACGTCTCCTCTTTCACAAAACTGCTCTGTCCCAATTATTGTTATTTACTGTCATGAGACCAGAGAAGTAAAGTAAAACTAAACAACACATTAAAGTAGTTATTGTAGCAGACACACCCTAATTCATTAATCTGGCAGGGTGATGCAGACACGTAATCTTAGGAAAGCTCTAATAGTAATGTTAAAGTAGATCCTTTGAGTAGCTCCAGCTACACTGAATCAATTAGACCAAGTGAACTATGTGCACACTCATAGCATCAGAAGAGGTAGAAAACCTTCAGACATTCTAAAAATAATGTTTCCCAACCTTCCAATGTTCTCATTGTCAGATGATGTAAAATGTACAATATCTGTGATGTACTTCTAATCTCTAAATGATATGTGGCGTAAGATCAGAAACATGTACTCAGTCCAAACAAGACATTGTACTTCCATATCACTGACTCACTTCTGAGTAAAGTCTCCACTGTTCCTCCATCACAGAGTTTGGGTGTGCATCTTGCTACATTTAAATATATAAAGTTCCCCCAAAGATTGTGTTTTCTAGAATTCTCAGATTTATCCTGTCTTCTATAATGTTGTTTGTAGCACTCAGTCCTTTTCAAATGGCATTTCGGCTGGTAACAAATTTCAAAACCATTAAGACATGGGAAGGCCCTAGCACAAGAATAATTACCACCATTTGCTGTGTTTCTTTCTCAATGTTATAATTGTACAGGGAAAGTAAATGCAAAATTTTATACAAAGCAGCCTGTGCTTTGTATGTTTTAAATGGCTATTCACCATATGTTTTTGATGCCAGTCTGAAGGCTAGTTCTGAGTATGACATATTCTTCTGGGTGGCTACAAAAATCAACTCTGTCTGGATGTTGCAGAATACTGCCTGCAATTTGTGAACTTTTTTTGATGGCAAATTGGCAGTATTCACGCTTAGCATACTATGAAACTGAACACAGTTTTGGGGTTTAGCTTAAGCACAAATAAACACAGAAACATGAAGTTATGATCTATCATTCACTCAATCTCTAACAGAAGCTGCACTGTGGACACCCTTCACCTGAGCCAGCAACTGGTGAAACAGCTGAATAGGTGAGAATATCCCCTTTTCCACTTTAACCTTTAAAAAATTTTTAAAATTAAGGCTTGTTCAACGAGATGTAATGGTATTTTACCGAATAATAATTGAGTTATACTGCTGAACAATCAATCTTGTCTTGGTAAATATTTGTAATTGTGTCAAATATCTCCATTATGATCAATTAATCATTTTTTAACCAGATTTTAAAATAATTTTTTTGAAAGTTGGCATATGATGAGCAGGATCTTCCCAGTCACTGAACTATGTGGGCATTCCCAAAAAAGTTGGGGAAAATCAAGTGAGATCAGCAGCAAGGAGATTCCTGACATTGAGAGCAAAAAGCCCCATTCTCCAACCAAGAGTTGACTAGGTGAGATGAGAATCACACTCATGAGCTGTGACAGGCCTCCTAGCACGCTCATTATTAGTTAATCTCAGCTCATTGATGTGCAGTTTCCCACCCTCCCACCCCTAGATATCGATAATTACAGACATGAAAGTCAGAGTGATTGCCTGGCTCTTTCATCTTGGACACCAGGCACCAACATCTCAAAGCAGCGACCACAAATACTGACTAAAAGAAATAGAAGCAGAAATAGATCATTTAGCCCATTGGGTCCACAGATGTTGACACTGGACATGCACCAACCTCACTGCACCCTCACTGTACATTTCCAATCCACTTACAATTCAGTTCTACACTTCAATGATGTACTTTGGAGCACACATCTTTTTATTGCAATGTTGCTGCCAGAACATTTTACACCCAGGCACAAACATCCAACTCATGGGTTTGAGCAGGGTACATCTCAGAGTTCTTCACATGCTGTCTTAGCACTCATTCACTTTCTGCCTATGCACAGATACAAAGCCAGGCAGCTTGTCTTGGTTGTTAGTAGTGATCAGTCAAGGGGATGGACATGTTGTGTGGCACCATACTACATCAATCTCACACCTGCACCATGTGTATGTGGCAAAAAGCAGTGCATGTGCCTCAACCAAATGGCCATGTTTCAAAGCCTAAGGGGAGTGGTCTTCAGCCAAGTCAAGGGAGACAGTCTTCTGTCTGGAGTCCCAACACAGTAAGTCAATAGTAGCCCCCCATTTCAGTCCCAGGGCTTGGGCACAATCAATCAGCTGCTTGGAGAGTCAGCTTCAAGATCCTTTCCTTGCAGGGAGCAAGAAGTCAAATGTTCGGCGCCCCCCCCAACCATCTTGGCTCTTTCTAACAATATTGTGGGCATTTTTTCCTGTAATGAAATAAAGGGAAGGATTGAATGAGATGAAAGTAGCTGTCACAGTTGTTAGTACAGTGGAGGAAAGGTGGTGAGGTGTCCCAAGTAAGTGAGTAAGTAGCACAGACAGTAAGCAGGGTTAGTGGTGTGGGAGGATAGAGTGGGTGCAAGCCTATGAGGGAAAATGTTGCATGTGCTGATGAGAGTGGTAGATCCTGAGCCCTGGTGGGAGATGTGTGCAGTAGCAGAGATAGTGTGAGTGTGAGGTAGCAGAGAAGAGATGGTGGCACTTACCTTTGTGGATCATAGAAGATCATTAACCTTCTTCCTGAATTGGTGTTTGTTCTCAAGACCTTAGAAACAGCACTGGCCTGTGTGACAACTTCAGGCCAGGCTGGCAGCATCTGGTGTCATAGCCTCCTCTGTAGGTTCAGAGGGAAGAGAACGGTACTCCTTTGCACCATCAGGACCTCCATGTCCTTGTCAGCAAATTGGGTCCAATTTGACTTTCTTACATGTCTGGGGCAATTCACATGGATCATTGCAGGGCAGCTCCGAAATGATGGCACTCATGTGGCTGGGTACTGTGCCAGTAATCCTGGGAGAGCAGCAGTAGTTAGTACTGCCCCCTGTGCCAGGAGCAAGCATACACAAATAGTATGCCACAGAGGTATGGTGCGTAGGCAAGTTTGAGAAGAGAGGATGAGAACTCCACTGGGCCTCACGGAGAGAAACACTCCATGAAACTTGGCAAACTTGACACTTAGCCGATTTCTGATAATATTTAGCCTATAATTTCAGTTCTGCATTATGCCTAGCTGGATGTCACAAACCTTGTTTTGCTCTGCGTAAAACTTTTAACAAGTTATTTGATTCTTAGTGCTCCCCTGTCTGGCTGTCTGTGAGGATTCTTTAATGTGATTGGCTGCTGGAACAGCTTCATGCTTAAGGGGGAGGCAATGGCCACGTGGTATTATCATTGGACGGTTAATCCAGAGACTATTCTGGGGACCCAGGTTCAAATCCTGCAATGGCAGATGGTAGAATTTGAATTTGATTTTTAAAAAAATCTGGAATTAAGAACCTAATGATGACCATGAATCCATTGCTGATTGTCAGGGAAAACCCATCTGGTTCACTTATTTCCTTTAGGGAAGGAAACTGCCATCCTTACCTGGTCTGGCCTACATGTGACTCCAGACCTACAGCAATGTGGTTGACTCTGAACTGCCCTTTGGGCAATTAGGGATGGAAGTGAATGCTGCCTAGTCAGTGACACCCTCATCCCATGAATGAATAAAGAAAAACCACAGCTCAATGCTGGCAATCTCCATTATACCACAATCAATCATAGATCCAGAGAGTTTGTATTCTCACTGTGGATCTCTGTGAGACTTTCTTCGAGGAAAACAGTGAATACCTTTGTTTCGCAGCTGACTAC